GAATACGGATAGTAGTAGGTTTGCGCGGATTCTGGCTAGCTGAGTGTCTAGAGATTGTGTCTGAGTGTCTAGTGTCTGAGTGTCCAGTGTCTGAGTGTCTGAGTGTCTAGTATCTAGTGTCTAGTATCTAGTGTTTGAGTGTCTAGTGTCTAATGTCTAGTGTCTGAGTGTCTGAGTGTCTGAGTGTCTGAGTGTCTGAGTGTCTGAGTGTCTGAGTGTCTGAGTGTCTAGTGTCCGAGTGTCTAGTGTCTGAGTGTCTAGTGTCTGTGTGTCGGAGTGTCTAGTGTCTGAGTGTCTAGTGTCTGAGTGTCTAGTGTTTGTGTCTAGTATCTGAGTGTCTAGAGACTGTGTCTGAATGTCTAGTGTCTGAGTGTCCAGTGTCTGAGTGTCTGAGTGTCTGAGTGTCTAGTATCTAGTGTCTGAGTGTGTAGTGTCTAATGTCTAGTGTCTGAGTGTCTGACTGTCTGAGTGTCTGAGTGTCTAGTGTCCGAGTGTCTAGTGTCTGAGTGTCTAGTGTCTGAGTGTCTAGTGTCTGAGTGTCTAGTGTCTGAGTGTCTAGTGTCTGAGTGTCTAGTGATTAGTGTCTGAGTGTTTAGTGTCTGTGTGTCGGAGTGTCTGAGTGCCTAGTGTCTGTGTGTCTGAGTGTATAGTGTCTGAGTGTCTGAGTGTCTGAGTGTCTGAGTGTCTAGTGTCCGAGTGTCTGAGTGTCTAGTGTCTGTGTGTCGGAGTGTCTAGTGTCTGAGTGTCTAGTGTCTGAGTGTCTAGTGTTTGTGTCTAGTATCTGAGTGTCTAGAGACTGTGTCTGAATGTCTAGTGTCTGAGTGTCCAGTGTCTGAGTGTCTAGTATCTAGTGTCTAGTGTCTGAGTGTCTAGTATCTAGTGTCTGAGTGTGTAGTGTCTAATGTCTGAGTGTCTGACTGTCTGAGTGTCTGAGTGTCTAGTGTCCGAGTGTCTAGTGTCTGAGTGTCTAGTGTCTGAGTGTCTAGTGTCTGAGTGTCTAGTGTCTGAGTGAACACTAGACACTCAGACACTAGACACTTGACACTAGACACTAGATACTAGACACTCAGACACTCAGACACTCGGGCACTAGACCCTCAGACACTCCGACACTCGTACACTAGACACTCAGACACTCAGACACTGGACACTCGGACACTAGACACTCCGTCACATAGACACTAGACACTCAGACACTCAGACACTAGACACTCAGACACTAGACACTCAGACACTAGACACTCAGACACTAGACACTCAGACACTAGATACTCGGACACTAGACACTCAGACACTAGACACTCAGACACTAGACACTCAGACATTAGACACTCGGACACTACACTCAGACACTAGACACTCAGACATTAGACACTCGGACACTACACTCAGACACTAGACACTCAGACACTCAGCTACTGGACACTCAGGCACTAGACACTCCGACACATAGATTCTAGACACTCAGACACTAGACACTAGACACTAGACACTCAGACACTTGACACTCAGACACTAGACACTCAGACATTAGACACTCGGACACTACACTCAGACACTAGACACTCAGACACTCAGACACTGGACACTCAGACACTGGACACTCGGACACTAGACACTCCGTCACATAGACACTAGACACTCAGACACTCAGACACTAGACACTCCGTCACATAGACACTAGACACTCAGACACTCAGACACTAGACACTAGACACTAGACACTCAGACAGACACTCAGAAACTCGGATACTAGACACTCAGACACTAGACACTCCGACACTTAGACACTAGACACTCAGACACTCATACACTCAGACACTAGACACTCAGACACTCATACACTCAGACACTAGACACTAGACACTAGACACTAGACACTAGACACTAGACACTCAGACACTGGACACTCAGACACTAGTGTCTAGACACTCCGTCACATAGACACTAGACACTCAGACACTAGACACTCAGACACTAGACACTCAGACACTAGACACTCAGACACTAGACACTCAGACACTAGACACTCAGACACTAGACACTCAGACACTAGACACTCAGACACTAGACACTCAGACACTAGACACTCAGACACTAGACACTCAGACACTAGACACTCAGACACTAGACACTCAGACACTAGACACTCAGACACTAGACACTCAGACACTAGACACTCAGACACTAGACACTCAGACACTAGACACTCAGACACTAGACACTCAGACACTAGACACTCAGACACTAGACACTCAGACACTAGACACTCAGACACTAGACACTCAGACACTAGACACTCAGACACTAGACACTCAGACACTAGACACTCAGACATTAGACACTCGGACACTACACTCAGACACTAGACACTCAGACACTCAGCTACTGGACACTCAGACACTAGACACTCCGACACATAGACACTAGACACTCAGACACTAGACACTAGATACTAGACACTCAGACACTTGACATTCAGACATTAGACACTCGGACACTACACTCAGACACTAGACACTCAGACACTCAGACACTGGACACTCAGACACTGGACACTCAGACACTAGACACTCCGTCACATAGACACTAGACACTCAGACACTAGACACTCCGTCACATAGACACTAGACACTCAGACACTCAGACACTCAGACACTAGACACTAGACACTAGACACTAGACACTCAGACAGACACTCAGACACTCGGACACTAGACACTCAGACACTAGACACTCCGACACTTCGACACTAGACACTCAGACACTCATACACTCAGACACTAGACACTAGACACTATACACTAGACACTCAGACACTGGACACTCAGACACTAGACACTCCGTCACATAGCCACTAGACACTCAGACACTACACTCAGACACTAGACACTCAGACACTCAGACACTGGACACTCAGACACTTAGACACTAGACACTCAGACACTCATACACTCATACACTCAGACACTAGACACTAGACACTATACACTAGACACTCAGACACTGGACACTCAGACACTAGACACTCCGTCACATAGACACTAGACACTCAGACACTACACTCAGACACTAGACACTCAGACACTCAGACACTGGACACTCAGACACTGGACACTCAGACACTAGTCACTCGGACACACAGACACTAGACACTCTGACACACAGACACTAGACACTCAGATACTCGGAAACCTAGACACTCAGACACCCAGGCACTCAGACACTAAACTCTCAGATATTGGACTCCGTCACATAGACACTCCGTCACATAGACACTAGACACTCAGACACTACACTCAGACACTAGACACTCAGACACTCAGACACTGGACACTCAGACACTGGACACTCAGACACTAGTCACTCGGACACACAGACACTAGACACTCTGACACACAGACACTAGACACTCAGATACTCGGAAACCTAGACACTCAGACACCCAGGCACTCAGACACTAAACTCTCAGATACTGGACTCTCAGACACTTGACACTCAGATACACAGACACTAGACACTCGGATACTAGACACTCAGTCAAGTTTCGAGACACTCAGACGCTTGGCACACTGACACTTGACACTCAGACATACAGACACTAGACACTCAGACACTAGACACTCGGACACTAGGCACTCAGATACTAGACAGACAGACACTAGACACTTAGACACTACACACTCGGACACTAGACACTCAGATATTAGACACTCGACCACACAAAGTGTGGATACTGAAACTATTATATAGTGGGGGAAAGGGATTATTAGTAATGAGATTTAATTTCTCCGCTACTAGCAGTACACTCTATCAGGTCGACCTCTATTCGATATGTATCGAACGATATAAGTCGATTATAATTAGACACGAAAAGTAGCGACATTGTTTAAATTTATATCTGCGGGGAGAATTCTTAACGTTAGACTGTAATCACTTTCAATCAAGCAACAAAAGCGAGCATTTATTATCCAAACTTTACAAAATCGAAATCACGATCGAACAGTCTTTGATTGTACCCCGATGTTAACATTACAAAAGGATGAAATTTCAATAGGAATTTGCCAAAAAGATTATAGAACAGCCAACTCCGTTGCGGTCGGTGTTTGACTTCAAAAGTAAAGGTATGAGAGATTTAAAATTGAAAATTGTAATGTCGCTACATTCGTGGCAAGTTAAATATTAATATCAAATGGAATTGTATTTAGTTTTGAAGTATAGTATAAAAATTATGCTTGGAAAATATTAATAATTTAACATTATGCTGCAAAAAAAAGGACTATCGTGCACTTTAGCTGCCCATTAACGATATGCTTTCCAACTGCATTGGGTTGACTGGAAGAGATCTCTGTCAGAGATAAGTCCACCCTTGTTCATAATATTTATAAATGCATTAACTATTTAATTTATAAGCGCAATAAAGAATATATGTATATATCTTCACGCCGTCCCTTATGGAATGACTCGAGTGAATCCAGGACTAAAGATCTCTTCCTTACATTTATCACTTGCTTCCTGCAATTTTATAACTTGTTTTATACATACAAGCTAGTTTCGGAGACTCTCAAGAGGAGTCAACTCCTCCTTTAGAAACAACACAGTCTGTTTTATAAAAAAAGGGATTAATCTTGAAATATTAACTTGAGATCAATATGGGAGAGATATTAAAATAAATTTTAAAATTCTGAAGATATTGCGTAGCATATATAAAGGAATATAGAGGAAAATTGAGATAATCCTCCTTTGGAAAGTTCTTTAAAAATAATATTAATAATAAATATGTACTATTTTTATGATTTATGCGGTAGTATATAGTTAGAAGTCGTTATGTTATATTTTCTGAGCTGAGTAGTGACGATAAGAATTACAGGCACATTAAAAACTCCTACCTGTTCAAATAATTTCTTCGCATACTTTAATATTATTAACCTATCAGATTTAAAAAGAACTTTTTAGGGCTGAATAGGTATAAAACAAAAACACATAGGAAACTTAAGCTTATATCTATATATGATAAATTTTAAGTTTTATTCACTAAATAAAATTAAGCATTTCATTTTAATAATTTATTAGTTACCTCTTCTGCATTTATGCTAATTTTAACATCAACAAATTCATTTTCTATATCTTGCAATGTTCTGTCTTTTGTCTCAGGTAAAATAAAATACAAGTGTGTAAGTAATAACACAGCTATGGAGCTGTAAACACCGAATGTTCCATGTATTTGAAAAATGTCTAACATAGAAGAAGTTAGTTTTAATGTTGCCATACTAATAAATGCGTTAATCAGTCCCGAGGCACATGTTCCTATACCTTTATACTGTAATGGAAACATTTCTCCCTTCAGAAGTATTGATAAAGGTATTACTCCAACATTACATATAAAATCGTAAAGAACAAGTAAAATAGGTGCCGACCATCCTAGACTTATTGAGAATTTCCAATTTAAATATTGGATAATACATACTACAGTTAATAAAAAACAAGACAATAAACCAGTGGAGAAAATCAGTAGTCGTCTATTAAACAGTCTTACGATGTAACTGGATAAGAGAACTGCCAATATCTTCAGTACATCCACAGTTATGATACAATAGAAAGCTTTCGATTCGTGTCCAGTAAGCTGTGTCATGATTTGGACAACATAAGCTATTAAATAATATCTACCGCACATTTGAGATAGCATTAGTAATTCAGTAACAATTAGAAAAGGTTTCAGGAAATTTTTGGAGGTTATTGCCTTTTTGATTTGTAATGCCAGACTGTCTTTATTATTCTTGCATGCTTGAAGTTCATATTGGGCTGTTAGTAGTTCTTTAAGTTCCTTTTTAGCTTGCTGGTCTTTGCCTCTTATCCATTCGAACGTCATAACACATTCCTCGAAACGTCCTTTATAAGCCAACCATAATGGACTTTCGGGTAAAGTTGTAGTTACCAAAATAGCTAAAATCGGTGGAACGGTGCTCAGCCAAGCCATATTTCTCCATGATATTATAAAACCGAAGCCATGACAAACGAGCACTCCAACGCAACTTGCTGTCACTTTAAAGATGACAAAAAATCCTCTGCGTTTCAGATGACTATATTCTGAAGCCAAGATGCTCGATATATACAGGCCTCCAAAAGCAATACCTTGAATGGCTCGACCCGTGATCAGTGTAACAACGTTTGAGGCTAGAGCAATGATGATGAACCCACACAAAACTGCAGTATTAAGTAATATATTTGCGAATTTTCGTCCATACATCTGCATGAGAGGTGGCACGGTGAGAAAACTAATACATCCTGTCATGCCATAGGCAGCAGCTGAAATGTATTGAATATTATTTTGATTAATTTAAATTTATTTATTATCAGATAACAAGATCCATTTGGTTAGTAACAGACTTAAAATTATGAATGAAGGTTAGAAGTCAGCAGGCAATATATTGCCTTTATATGGCTTTCAGATATATCTGAAAGGCATTCGGTCAGGACCGAAATCAACAAGGGAAGATAACTATTCATCGTCAAATCAGCCTTTAACTGTCCACTGCTGAACATAAGCCTCCCTCTTCGGAGGTATTGCCAGAAGTTGGCAAGCTTGGCAGGCGGATTGGTAACCGCAGTTAAGCTTTAGAAATGTTTTAATAGGGACGCTGCTGTCCATCATTCGTCCTCCCTTAGTCGCCTCTTAGGACACCCATGGGAAAGGAAGGAGTGGCCTATTCTATACTGGGACCTACAAGGGAAATATAATTATTATTAAGTTATGAATTTTAAATTACTAAATTGATGATATCTATATAGAGCAAAATCATAAGTTACTTAAATATAGACATTGACAGCTAACTTAAAAACAAACATATATTTGTTTTTGAGTTTATTGCACTTGTAAATTACATTGTTAATGCATTTATAAATATTGTGAGCAAGGGTTTTTTGTTATTATTGTTATCTCTGACAGAGATCTCTTTCAGTCAGCCCAATGCAGTTAGAAAGCATGTTGTTAGCGGGCAGCTGAAGTGCTACAAGTATTATATATATTGTAATAAAATAATTAAAGAATTGAAGTACGTGGCATTTGATTTGTGTCAATGCGGTAGAATTTAATAATACACACTGTATGTAGCTACTTTTAAACTTCGAATACAATAGAAACTGTAGTAAAAGGTTCTTCAAAAAGGGTTTTTCAAGATCGGCAACACGTACGTGACACCCATACTGTTGCAGGTGTCTATAGTCTATTGTTTACCATCAGACGGACAGTATACTGTACACTGAAACTGCGTAGAGATGTTGCATCTCTGTGCATCTTCTACCGAATTTATCATGGGGAGTGCTCTGAGGAATTGTTCTGATTGATACCTGCTGCTGATTTTCACCGTACAACCCGCCATAAATTAAAATTTTATCCTAACCATCTGGACGAGTGGCGGTCCTCCACCGTGCGTTTTTCAAGGCACTTTCTCCCACACACAACCACTTTTTGGAATCAACTTCCAGCAGCAGTATTTCCGAACCGATACGACAACATAATCTTCAAGAAAAGAGCATATTCCTTTTTAAAAGGCCGGCAGCACACCTGCAATGCCGTTGGTGTTGTGGGTGATCATGGGCGGCGGTAGTCACTTACCATCAGGTGAGCCACATGCTCGTTTGCCCCTTGTGTTGTAAAAAAATCTTGTTTGCCATATTCGTAGTATAAATAAAACGGAGGGGTACACAGAAATTACTTATAATTATTTTGAAGGGAACAATAATATGTATGTACTCACTAATCCAAGAAGCATCATTTCTGGTGGCATGGATATCAGCGCTGTTGTTCGTGATTGCTGGAGTGAGAATCGCAGGAAAGCCGAGTACAAAACCAATGGCCAGGTGATGAAGTATAAGCGGCGTCATCACCAGCCACTATGATGATACCAATAATATTCAATTGATATATTGTCTTCAACTTTACTGTTTTTTTTTATATAACTTAGCTAGGTAATAACGTACCATCAGGTGAGTCGCATATTCGTTTATTACCTTTTCATATAAAAAAAACGCATAAAGCATACATACAGAGGGAGACTTTGTACAAAAGTCGATTACTTGGGTACCTCTGTCCCATTCGTGTTTCTACAGTGAAGCAGTTGTGTTTGCATGGCTGTGTTTCGTGTTTGAAGGGTGGAATATGGCGTGTATTTACAGGGTACAGAGGAATAACACCTGTGTTCTTAGGAATAGCAACGCATGGGGGGTATCATGGGCGAAAAAGTATACTCTGTTATGTTCATAGTACTGCTCATGTCTATAGGCGATAGTTACCACATTCCATCAAGTGGGCCGTCAGCTTGTTTACTATTCTAAGTTGTAAAAAAAATACAAAAAAAAACATACAATCATATAAAAAATATAGAATTAATAGTATTAGATCGATGAATGTGGAGGTAGCGATATATATGTATATATATGTCTGATAGAGTCTGATCCTTCAGGATTTCTATGCTTTTTCAACAGACTTCAAAATAAAGGAAGCTTTCAATTCGGTTGCATTTTTTTATGTTCCTTACCTTATAATTCTGGGGGGAAGGGATTGTTAGTAATGGGAAGGTTAGTCCCCATTGCTATCGATATACCCTATTAGGTCGTATTCCACGCGGTTCACCATTGAATTCGTCACAATGGGCTAACTGACCTGCCTTTTCATTCTCACCTATCACCTCTCAATGGTATACCGATAGCGCAGACGGGGTTACCATGCCATTTTCACCCATAAAAAACCTAATAAACCTCCAAAATTATTTAGAAAATTCTTTTTTTTTTATTTGAAAGGATAAATTTACAGATTACTTTCACAGAAACTTTATCAAAAATATATAAGCAGTTTAGTTTTTAAATCAAAATAACCGATTTTATCACAATTGCAGTCGGGTTTTTTTTGGGGAATACATTCTTTATTTATTAATTTATTTATTTTACACTTTATTGCACCAAGTAAAAAGAGAAATAACAAATACAGTAAATATTAATGAGAAGTGATACAAAAGGCGGCCTTATCGCTAAGCAATCTCTTCCAGACAACCTTTGGGTAGAGGACATTGAGAAAAAGACAAAGGGTAGGTGGCGCACTATTATAGAAATATTATCATATACAAACTTATATACATACATACATACATACACAATCAAATATATACATAACATACACATACTTAACAGCACACATACAACAGAAAAAAGAAAACGATGAAGGAAAACGAAGAGAGAACACAGGAAAATAGTGTTTTAATGTTTGTTATATAAGTATTGTAGTAACAATAAGAGTTATGTACATATATACTTACTTCTCTCAAAATATATGAAACCATTACAATACTATATCTCCACTTATTTTAAACACGACACCTCGCTATGACGCTCGCTATGTATAACACATGCCTGAATGTACCATATACAGACAATATAAATAAGAATTTAAACAATTTAATCACTTAACGAATAAACCTATCGAAGTCACTTATAATTTATTGATTTCTTATTGGAACTCCATAGAATATAACGAGTTATACGCTGTTTTTACATATTATACATATTTATTTTTTATTTTAACCTTTAATTTGAATAATTTAACAAAATAATTACACGTAAAATTTGATTACAAAAACATAGGTAGATATCTATGGTGACTCTGATACGTATAACTTTATTGCTTGCGATAAAATTCCATGATATTTACGCTAGTTATTAAATAAAATCCATTTAAATCTTTTAAAAAAAGTGGCTGTTTGCAATTGGATTTGAATGATGTGTGATAATAGAATCATCATCGTTATTATCATACGCATCATTCACTCAACATAGTATTACGTAAAATTACGTATCGTACAAGACATATATTATTCTTTTGTTCATTGTTAATAGTATATAATATAGATTTAATTTATTTAAATATCTAAATAGAAGAGTTAATCTAGATATATAATTAGAGATAAATAATTAATATATATATATATATATATATATATATTTATTTATTTATTTAATGATAATGTATCGTATCACAATCCAATTATCCGCATGTGCAGAAAATATAACAATGTATGCAAGGATCTTGATATTTTCCAACAATCCTTGCAATGTTACATTAAGGCTGCCAATTTGTACTTTAAATTACTACTTATTACTTTAAATTTATAGCCGTCATTCTTTTAATGTATATAATAAAACTTTATACTTTTTTGTCGGAAAGGTGCATCTACTCAATTGATGAATTTTAAAATACTCTTTTAATATTTCATGCCTTACTAATGACATTTGTTAATTGATTGTAATGTTAGTTTTGACAATTATTACTGGTTATTTTGTTGCTTCATATTTTTTTTTGTTTTGTTATATTTTATGATATCTTCTTGTTACTTGTAAAATGTAATGAATAAAATAAATTGAATTGAAAATTGAATTATCAAATAAACATGTCTAAAATAAATTAATGAAATAGTAAACTTGTTAGAAATGATCTACAATGACCGTTACAAAATTAGGTGCAATTGTGGTCAAACGCGTGCAAATTTAATACATATAAAGAAATCGCCCTCCCGATCCGATATCTATATACTGGGTTTGTCTGGACATTGATGGCGGTAAATTTTTTTTTATACAACTTAGAATGGGAAACAAGCTGACGGCCCACCTGATGGAAAGTGGTAACCGTCGCCTATAGACATAAGCAGTACCATGGACATAACAAAGTATACTGTTTCGCCCATGACACCCCCCATGCGTTGCCATTCCTGAGGACTCAGGTGTTATTCCTCTGTACCTAGTAAATTCACAATTCAGTAAATTCAAATGGCATCATCCATTACGATATCGCCCATATCGGTTGGATATCTATTTTCGAATATGTTGAAAGTCTATGTTAGTTAGTTATGTCTAAGTTATGCAATATGTTTTTTGGGTAACAGACTATTAATATATTCGTTATTGGAACCAGTACATAGATATTGTAACTAAAATATATAAGATATTGCTATATATTACTTACTCCAAGTATCTAACATAATTTCGCTTCCTTTACCAAAAGTCGTAAGGGTTTTTCTGCTGAAACGGTCATAATCGTGTGTCGTTTTCACCTGGACTGCCCGTATCGGACCCCCGGGACGATATCGGTGGATTGGGTTCCGTTGAAACTGCAAGCTGTGCTTATGAAATAGGCACGATATTCCTTAAATGGCCAGGTTTAGTGTTTCGTAGCGAAATTGGGAAATGGACTATGCAGTGGATTACTTGTTCAGCGTTTCCTTTAAAGAACGCATACCATAAAATTGGTATTACCTGTTGTATTAAAGGCCGGCGTTCACGCATCAGAAAATAACAAAAAAAAAAAACAACAGATTTTATTTTAATAAGTGAGAATAGAATGGTAGCCCCGCCTGCGCTATCGGTATACATGAGTGTTTACGCATTAAAAGGATTACAAAATTATAAGACAAAATAAATATTGAAGTTATAAAGGAATCGCTTATAACTATTTATCACACAAAATTGTGTGAAAAAGTTGACCCGTTTTTCTCAAAGTATTTCTAGTGGAGACACTGTCTATATAATATAAGAATTAAAAAAAAGATTTGAACTTTTTAGCAAGAGTGAGCTTTACTTTAAAAGAGATCTCCTCCAGCCAGGCTAATGCAGTTAGAGAGAAAATGATTAGTGGGTATTCTAGTGCAGAAAAGATATAGGAAAAAAAGGTACACAAGGAAAATAGAATACAAATAAAATAAACATACTAATATAGTAAAATAATATATATGCTATATATACACATATATAATACATATAAACAGTAAATGCATAGTATTAATAATAATAGAAAAAAAAATATAAAATGGCCAATATCGGAAAACCTGCTTCATTTGAAGGATGTCACTGGTGCCTTATCACCTCATACGGTTAACATAAGCACTAGTGAATTTACTGGGTTCCGTACCCAGTACCTAGGAAACACCTGAGTCCTCAGGAATGGCAACGCATGGGGGGTGTCATGGACGAAACAGTATACTCTGTTATGTCCATGGTACTGCTCATGTGTATAGGCGACGGTTACCACTTTCCATTAGGTGGGCCGTCAGCTTGTTTGCCAGTCTAAGTTGTATAAAAAATAAAAAAATAGTAATTCCATCTTCTTCTATTAAAGAAATCTCTTGATTACAGCAAATCTAGATATAATTAGTACAATGTTATAGATGGAGTAAACAATTAAGGTCCACACATCTGTTTGATAGATACACGCTGGTGCAAATTAAATCAGCAGGTTTCTGGTCGACTTGCTTCGGAACTGAATATCTGATGTGCACAGTATAAAATAGACCGGGAGCTCGGTGTGAGATTTACTTCATTTTATTATTCACTATCTCTTTACCCGCTATTTTGTACTGTCAGTGTGGGGCGCTTGTAAATAAACTTTTTGCCACACACCGAGATTATTTATTTAATATTTTACACACTGCGTGTGTGTACAATGGATTGTGCTCAAAGGAATTATTCAATATGATGCTTTCGGCATCCATGTTGCCATCGACAGGGAGTTCACCCTCATACCCTACAGCCTAAATGGTCGCGTACAACGCGGTTTCAGAGATGTTTTCTTCCACGAACACTCAGGTTATGGAATGAGTTCCCTGCCGAAATTTTCCCAAGAGACTACAGCATGGGGTTCTTCAAAAGGGGGGTAAAGAGGTTTCTTCAGGGTCGGCAACGCGCGCGTAATACCTCTGGTATTGCAGGCGTTCATAGGCTACGGTAACCGCTTATCATCAGGTGGCCCGTATGCTTGTTTGCCACCTCAGTGGTATAAAAAAAACACAGTTAACAGTGCACTTTTAACTAATTTGAAGGTTCACTTTGACTAGAGACTCTTGGTTCAGGGTTGTATTGAGCTTGGATGAATGTAACTAGTTAGTTTTACAAGAATCTTGCACTCAATATATAAGAATTTTTATCCTTTTTAATTTAAAACGCAACTTTACCAAGTGTATCTTATTTTATCTTATTAGTATAGATTTGGTATTAGCTCTCTGATTATAATGTGGGTAGAACCAAAATAAACGGGTCACTTTGTGCAATTTGCTAGCGAGTCATTGTGGGCGCAGGCCTTTCCTCTTTGGGATTGATTCTGAAACCTGCGCTGGTATGTATGCACATATAGATAGATAGACAGTGGAACAAAGTTGTTTGAGAGCCGTTTCCAACAATAGATAATGTTACGGAAGCTTTTTAACCGACTTTAAAAAAGGAGGAAGGTTTAAGTTCGGATTTTTTAATGGATGGTAATAGAATTGTGATCCTGACAGCGCTATCGGTGTACGCTGGCAGGGCATTAGTGAGAGATGATAGGTGAGAATGAAAAGGCAAGTTAGTTAGTCCATCGTGATGAATACACCTGGAATTCAGCACGTTAATTTCCAGGGAGGACCACGTGGAGGTCGAGCTGACAGGGTATATTGTTAGCAATGTGACCCTTAGTCCGCGTTACTTACAATTCCTTCCTTTTCAGTTCGATTGCAGGCATATTTTTTTTTGTTACATCAGAATTCAGTCATTTATAAATCAATTTGTAGAATTTTATTTTTATCAAAATTTGGGTCGATTGTTTGATTTTTAAATCAAAATAAATTGTTTTGACATAGTTGAAGTCGGTATTTTTTTGTGGGGCAAAATTTATTACATTTAATTAGAGTAGGTAAAGTCTAACGGCGAATTTCGAGACTTGTTGAGAATTTGGCCCATTTTTATGGGAGTTCTAAAAGAAGGTTCACAATCTGTTTGTATTTTTTGTTTTGTGATTTTGTTGCGCAGTCAAATAATTTTGAGACGATTTTGGTAATTCTTTCGCAATCTACAGGGTTCGCTCCCTTGTTGCATGGTTGGTTAACTTTACGGTGATTGTTTTTAAATATTTTGGATATTTAGAAACTTTAACGGCGAGGTTTCTCACTTTATAATGAATTGAATGTAAATTAGTACATAAATAAAATATTGAACAATACTGTAATACTTTACAGAATATGTATAGCAATTATTGTTTTTTAAAATTCTAAGAAATGGGCTTCAGGTAAGTTCAAGATTGAACTCAATGTCAATAACTTCAACTGCGTATTCTCCGCGGATTATTTGACAACACAAGCTTTTGAGTTTATATATATATATATATATATATATATATATATATATATATATATATATATATATATATATATAATGTTGTATTATTTTGTTGCTAGTTCGTAGTTTTCTTTTGTACTCGTCCTTCACTTTCTAGAGTTAGCGGGGTTGCCAGATGCGGATATTGATTTTTACCCAAATGTAACATATTTTTACTCCAAATCGGTAGGATTTTCAGGATTTTACTATATTAAAATTTTATATCGTTTTTCACTTCTTTGTTTGTGTTTCTTTGTTTTTAATTTATTCTTCTATATTTTGCCATAGTATGTTGCAAAAGATAACTGTTTCTCTCCTTCTCTTTGTGTTATTTACCTTCAGTCATCATCATCATATCAACCGTTAACTGTTCATTGCTGAACATAGGCCTCTACAATAAAGGGGCTCTATCCAGCAGTTGCTACGCTTGGTAGGTGGATTGGCAATCGTTAGGCTTTGGTGATGTTTTAGGAGGGGCGTTGTTATTCAGTCATATATTTTACTGCAGTTATGTACCTTATATACCTATAAGTACTAAAAATATTACCGAAAAGTTTTAAAAAATCAACCAAATTTCTCCAAGCCCATTTCACTTTATTCTAAATATTTCTCCAAAATTTCGAGAATACAAATATTTTTACTCAAAATAGTGTATAAATTACGCAATCTGGCAACACTGAGAGTCAGATATCACTTCTAATAACTGAACAATAGCAAAACACTTCCTCGGTCATTTGGAAAATTGGCGATGTTTTACCGTTTCGTTAACACGAGTTTTCAAAGTTGATAACAGGCTGGAATACCTCATAATTCGCCGACGGTGCCGTAAAGTTTGGGAAACAACAGTTGTTTTTTTTAATGCTTTATCTGCGAGTCGTTTAGTTGCTAGCTAAAGTTTTAGGGTTCAGTCTCTAAAAAAAAACACTTAATTTTTTTAATGAATACTAGTAATTTACTGTTATATGAGTACATAGTACATAAACAAATATCTGGTTATCAATATATATATATATATATATATATATATATATATATATATATATATATATATATATATATATATATAATTTGTTGTCAGTTTAACAAATAATCATTAATTTTAGTATACATATTTAATTGTGTATATTTAACTAGCGACCCGCCCCTGCTTCGCACGGGTGCAATGCTGAGCCCACACTTAAGGTGTAAGGTTATAGTCTTATACACCTTTATAAGGATATAGTATACTATAGTACATTATTTTGATCTCTCTTAGGGTTCAGCCAACGTTTGAAATGTAAGTGCAAAAAATGTGTGTATTTACGACATCACATTAGAAACTAATAATTAATAGTTTTGAAGTTTTAAAAGTCTGTGGAAAAGTTGAAGATGTGCAGCACCTATTGATGGAATGTGATAGCAACCGAAGGGAAAGGGAAACATTTTTAAAAATATTTAATATTAATAAATTTGTTGTGGGGATTGTTCAGAGCATAATGCATGCTGCTACTACCAAAATTGCTTTGTGCTTAAGTGAATTAGTAAGTAGTATTGTTTAGTCATAATTATAATAGTAGATAACTTGTTTAAATCTTATGGGATTGCCATGTTAAAAAACAAAAATCCCATATTGAACGTAGATTAAAAAAAAAGTTTTAAAAGTGAAATAAAAGATTGAACGTAGCCCTCTATGTATTTTATTGATTGATATTAACTAACTATGCATATTACCATATTGTTGCCAGAAGCCACGTTCTACTGTTTCACTATACAGGTTACTGCCTTGTCTTAACTTGTATGAGATGCCCGGAGGCAGGCCTCAGAGCGAGGTCTATTCTGAGCTCGAGCTTGTCCGCCTGCGAGACCAGCACCAACTCCCTCACGCAGTGCGCCATGATTGTCTTCATTATTGCCATGGCATATTTCTTACCTGTATAAAAAGTTCGTAAGTAAGTAAGGTGGTGTGGTCCCGGTATAGAATAGATTACCCCCTTCTTTTCCGTGGTGTTGTAAGAGGGGATTAAGGGAACTTAATGGTTGAGGGATGGGATGGTCGAGGTATATTATAAGAGGGAGGGTACTGTTTCGTCCATGATACCCCTCATGCGTTGCCATTCCTGAGGACTCAGGTGTTATTCCTCTGTACCCAGTAAATTCACGCCATATCCCACCCTTCAAACCGAAACACAGCCATGCAAACATGTTTGCAGATATTGTCACAATAAGGGAGAAACGTCTGAGCACATAATTTATGACTGTAATCCCATTCATACATAAACGAAAATACACTTTCCTTTGGAAAATACACTTTATATCCTGAGAAGACAAAAAACATCGCTACAAAAACATTTTAAAATGCCTACCACTGATATGAATTAGCAGTGAACTTTAAAAAAAGAACGCAGCGTATGGGGGGGGGGATCATGGGCGAAAGAGTATACTCTGTTATGTCCATGGTACTGCTCATGTCTATAGGCGACGGTTACCACTTTCTATCAGATGGGCCAACAGCTTGTTTGCCATTCTAAGTTGTATAAAAAAACACTTTTTAGGCATAAATCGAACATAATACCTCTTCTTTTTTTAAAATCAGTTAAAAATAAGTTTACAGTCGCGACATATATACCTATACATGCTCTTCGTCCGTAGCTGAAGGCGAGGAAGGCGGCTGGATGTCCCGGTGCCTTCTCTTCCAGCCATCTCTCTGGTCTATATTCTTCTGCATCTGGACCCCACACACGTTTCGACCGCCCCGCGCCCCACGTGTTAATACAACAACACGTTCCTTTGGGCACTGTGCAATTTTCTGAATCATAAATAAAAAAAAAGAATTAAGATTTTCTATTAACTATAAAAAGAATTACGACTTTAATTTTAAAAAACAGTTTAGAGTTAAAAAGAAACAAAAGTTGTTCATAATTGGCGGAGATGTTATGTAACATGCGCAAGCAAATATCAAATTGGGAAAGTTCGATTTTGTTATCATTTCTAGAAAATTCACATTTCCCCTCTTAAGGAGAGGAGATGGCAAACTAACCCCCGGCAGAAGCACAGCCGGCCGGGGTTCAGGGCCCCAGGGAGAGAAACCGGCGTACAACGCGGGCAGTATCTAAGAGCACCGCTTTCTGCATCTTTCCCGGGAGTGAGCCGCCTCGGAATCCCGACCGTCTGAGATGTTGTTCCAGAATTATTATAATTGTTGTTCCAGAATAATAATAATATTATTATCATTATTATTATCTCAGCTATTATCTGTTCACTGCTGAACATAGGCCTAATATCTTATCTTATCTTATTTTTCGCATATGGGGTCAGCTAAGCCGATGCACATCGATTCATACGGATCTTTTGTGCTTCCCCCTGCCTTATACCATCATTTCATGGATCCTATGTGTTACCCTAACGATATCCCGCGGTTTAAGATATCTGTAGTCCCCTGGTTCCGGATAGGCCTAATATACCCATGCAAGCAAGTTAACGCCTAGCCCGATTTAAATGTGTATTTGGTAACCATTACCTATAGACATAACTGCATCCTGGACATCATAGGATATATACACCTATCGTGTATTGCTATTTGTGAAAACTATATTTACCCGAATTACAGTACACCCAAATATATGTAGTTTAGTACGCCCCTCCACTAGATGGAGTCATCATCATATCAGCCTTTAAGCATCCACTGCTGAACATAATCCTTCCCCTTGGGGAGTACAGCCAGTAGTTGCCATGCTTGGCAAGCGGATTGGCAACTGCAGTCTGGCTTAAGAGATGTTTAAGAGGGACGCTGCTGCCCACTAGATGGAGTGATGACCTCAAATTCACCGCAGGAATACAGGTGACTCAGAACCGTTCCTTATGGCAGTCTATGGGGGAGGCCTATGTCCAGCAGTGGACGGATAACGGCTGAAATTATATATGTTCAATATTATATAAGTAAACATACTTCTATATTAATTTAAACTAAGTTCTATCCGAATGGCTCCCGCTGAAAATCAGCGCTGTAGCGTCTCGGCTGCAGCGTAACGCTGAGCGGATACCATTAACATTACCTGTCACCTTCACCTTCTATACATGTTATTTTACTCTGTTTAAACCTTTTTTATGTCTATTGAATTAACTATTATTTATTTAATTATAACCGGTAATTTCATTGATACTCTTTTTGAACTGAGAACAGCTGCTTGCCGGTGAAAATTAATTCGTGTTTCAAACGTGAAGCAGTTGTGTTTGCATGGCTGTGTAGCTGAGTAGCAGCGAGTGTGTAGTGAGAGCTAGCAGCGTATGCTGTGAGCCCTTAGGAATGGCAACGCATGGGGGGTACCATGGGCGAAACAGTATACTCTGTTATGTTCATGGTACTGCTCATATCTATAGGCGACGGTTACCACTTTCCATCAGGTGGGCCGTCAGTTTGTTTGCCATTCTAAGTTGTATAAAAAAAAAGAAAACATGAGTATGCATGCTTGATTTTTATAAATAGACCTCATTTGGTATGTGTAAAACATTTACGTACTGAGTTGGAGATCTCTGTCTGCATAGCGCATAACGCCGGGAACCGGGGGATACATCCTTAGTGTTTCATATATAACAGCTTCACAATATATCATTCGGTCCAAATCTTCTTTGACAACGGGCCTCGTGCTATCGCCAAATATTGAATGCATTCTTAAAATAAATAAATAAAAAAATATTTAGTAACGAATAAAAACAGCAATAACAAATAGCACGAAGGGTACCATGAGAATCACACTATATTCTATCATGTCTATGTGAATATATATATATATATATATATATATATATATATATATATATATATATGTCACATAAACATAGGGATATGGCAGTGAATTTAGAGGGTACAGAACAACACCTGTATGCTCAGGAATGTCAACGCATGGGGGGGTGTCATAGGCGAAACAGTATACTCTGTTATGTCCATGGCTGTAGTACTGCTTATGTCTATAGACGACGGTTACCACTTTCCATCAGGTGGGTCGTCAGCTTGATTGCCATTCAAAGTTGCATCAAAAAAAGGCTTTATTTAAAGAGGTATTTTCCACTTACTCGTTATATAATTTCTCCTGGACTTGTGGCTTGCATCCGATCATTAGGAAAATATAAAATAATGTGGTCGCGACCGTCTCCTGACCGGCCACGATGATGGTGTCCACTTCGGACTTGATCTGCTGGTGGGTGAGCGTCGGGTCTATACTTCGAAGGTCCAGAAGTATGTCGAGGAATGCCTTGAACTTTGGACTTACTAATAAAAAAATATCAAATGATAAATAATAAATACCACTAGATGTATTAGTGAGGGCCATCTAGTCCAAAATTAAGGGGGTGAGAAGGATTGTTAGTAATGGGGACGTTAATTCCCAATGCTAGCAATATACTCTGCCAGGTCGACCTGAAGGTCGACGAAGCCATTGTGATTTATTATTGTCAAATTCGTCGCGATGGGTTAACTGACCTGCTTCATCCTCACCTATTATCCCTCACTGGTGCCCCGCCAGTGTACCGATAGCGCGGACGGGGATATTACTTCATTATCATCTATTAAAAAAAAAACTCTGTGAATCCTAGCTTGAGTACTATACGATGGGATTATTTTAATCAATACCGATATAAAAAAATAACAAAATTAAGTGGAACTTACGCTATGGGTCTTGAACAACTAATAGAAATTGGAAATATAGTTTTTTTTTTTGTAAATACAAGCTTAATTTACGAAGTACATAAATATAGTATTGTGTGGGGATTGAACCCGCGACCAATTGAAACAGTGCTTCTAACTGCTTCAACGCTAAGGGTTAAATTGTTCTGTGAATTAAATGCATCTTTTCTTGCTTAGATAAATTTAGGTAAATAGAATAGAAACTGAACTTTCATTAGAAGTTTATGATTAAAGATTTCTAAATAAACTATATTGCCCATTTGTCCGATGAGGTATATAGACTTATTAAATATAAGATTTACCACTTTTGTTTGCCTCTAAAGCATTATTGTTCTTCATTTTTTCTCGCTCTATAGTTCTTTTTGTCATCACCTAAAACAAATTACATATTTCTTATATAGATAGAGTTATTAAGAAATTTGATAAAAGTTAGAACAGTGTTTCCCAACCTTTTATGTGCCATGCCCCACTTGAACATTTCTAAAATTTTTATACATACTTTTTCCCGACAAAGTTTACTTGATAACTCTAATTGCCTAGTTGATATTTTAGTAATGTCAAACGAAATAATACCTAATAAATATTTACAGTATTTTTTAATTTTTTTTTGTTAAATTTGGCACCGATATCTACTCGTAGTATTGCATTGAAATAATACGAGGCCCGGAGCAAGAGGGTTTAAATAGCTTCAAGTCTATTTTTTATTTGCCTGCCCCCCCCTTAACTATCAAATTGCCTCCCTGCTTCCCTACATATATATTAAAAGTAATGTTTATGTATTATATGTGCATTTCTTTCGTGTACATTATATTTATATTATGTTAGTATATGGTCACATATTTTTCACCACATCTGCCCTTCATACGCTTTCTGTTTTTACCCAATGGTTAGCCGGTAGAGAATACCATTTGGCATTAAGCTCGCCATTTGTACAAAGTTTAATTGTGCAATAAAGAATAAAAAAATAATAATAAGGATTAAATATAAACGTCTACAGTTCTGCAACACACACATTGGACGTATTGGGGCCAATGGACTTTAGTATACAATAAAGAATAAATCACCATCATATCAGCTTTTAACAGTCTACTGTGATTACTGCTACCCATTCCTCCACCAATAAATTCCTTAGTTGTCTCTTACGACACACAGAGGAGTGTCCCATTCTAATGGCGGGATTACACGGTAATAAATGAATAAGCTTAAATATATAAATATTTAGCTATTTTATTTCTGTTTATTTTAACATTTCACCTGGAATCAACAGCTTATATCTAGAATAATTTAAAATATTATGTTTACACCATATATTAGCCAATTACAGATTCCCAATTTGTATTATTAGTTTTTGGAGGGTAGGTTAAATTAAAAAGAAAAAAAATACAAAAATATTTTTTTTATACAACTTAGAATGGCAAACAAGCTGACGGCCCACCTGATGGAAAGTGGTAACCGTCGCCTATAGACATGAGCAGTACCATGGACATAACAGAGTATACTGTTTCGCCCATAATACCCCCATGCGTTGCCATTCCTGAGGACTCAGGTGTTATTCCTATGTACAAGCAATCGACTTTTGTACAAAGTCTCCCTCTATGAAAATTTATAGAGATACTTATTTGAAACGTCTATAGCAAGGAACGACTTAAATACTTTACCATCTCTGAGACATTGTGAAGAATTGCGACGGATTTCGTTATCTGTTTATAAGAGGGCGTGAGGCGATATACGATATTTGGGTGCTGGAGTATATTCAGACCCCGACTGAGTAACAGTTCCATGCAGTTGTTGAAGGCATTATAGTACTCCGTTGTGATAATGCTCTCCGATATTTGGGACACGCCAAGAGCTGTTTCTGCAAAGATATTATGGAATATTTTCTAAATCAAGTTTTTGATTAAGAAATTTATATATATATATATATACTTATACAACTTAGAATAGCAAACAAGCTGACGACCCACCTGATGGAAAGTGGTAACCGTCGCCTATAGACATGAGCAGTACCATGGACATAACAGAGTATACTGTTTAGCCCATGATACCTCCCCATGCGTTGCCATTCCTGAGGACTCAGATGTTATTCCTCCGTACCCAGTAAATTCACGCCATATCCCACCCTTCAAATCGAAACACAGCCATGCAAACACAACTGCTTCACGGTTGAAACACGAATGGGACAGAGGTACCCAAGCAATCGATTTTTGTACAAAGTCTCCCTCTGGTTATAGTTTTGTATTTGATTTCATTTTTTATGCTACTTAGAATGGCAAACAAGCTGACGGTATTTAGATGGTATATATAACTGACTTACGACATATCGCCTCAAGAGTTATAAAGGCAATGTATTTCTTCATTATGTCGAAGGGCTTGCGTCCCACTTCACCTTTCAGTTGCTGTACCAAATTGTGCGCTTGCGCATCGAACACTGGCTGGTAACTGTCCACAACGGTTGCGTTGAAAGCGCTGCCTATATTCTTGATGTTGTGTTTCCATATTGCAGCTAAAATTTTACAATTATATTTAATTGTACATTAAAAGTTTAAATAACCCTACATAGATATGTATCTATACAAATCAAATCCCATTTTTTTTATACAACTTAGAATGGCAAACAAGCTGATGGTCCACCTGATGGAAAGTGGTAACCGTCGCCTATAGACATGAGCAGTACCATGTCAACAGAGTATACTGTTTCGCCCAAGATAACCCCCATGCGTTGCCATTCCTGAGGACTCGGGTGTTATTCCTCCGTACCCAGTAAATTCACGCCATATCCCACCCTTCAAACCGAAACGCAGTCATGCAAACACAATTGCTTCAAGGTTGAAACACATTCGTGTTTCGGGGCAGAGGTACTCAAGCAATCGACTTTTGTACAAAGTCTCCCTCCCTCTAGTGGATAGTCTTAGCATTACCACAGTAGTGCTGGTGCTTTTAATTAATAGTAACAATATTTCAAGCATTTTTAGTCACTCACCAGGTGCAGTGATGAGTCCGTTCCCGAGCCATATCCGCCCGAAGTTGTAGTAATATGGTTTCTCAATAAACGTGTTTGTTACAGTCTTCACATCCTCGGGATCGCTTATTACTGAAATGTGACAATTATTGAATGACAATATTCGTGAACGACGATAGTGGCGTAGTGGTGGGCTTTTTTTATCGAATGGAATGGTAACCCCGCCTGCGCTATCGGTATACGCTGGCGTGGCACCAGTGAGGGATGATACGTGAGAATGATATATTGAATAAGTGTACTGTTTCGCCCATGATACCCTAATGCGTTGCCATTCTTGACGACACAGGTGTTATTCCTCTGTACCCAGTAAATTCATGGTATTGCTCATGTCTATAGATGACGGTTACCACTTTCCATCAGGTGGGCCGTCAGCTTGTTTGCCATTCTAAGTTGTATAAAAAAAAGACTATAAATATTCGACACGATATAATAGAAGATGACGTGACACTCACTCAAAAGAGGCAAATATCCCATCCAAAGTGCGAATGGCAGATTCTTTTGATCGGCAATTTCCGATATTTCTTTTAATCGCTGAAATATTACTGAAAACAGATCAAAAGTTTGAAAGTCAAATAAATTCTGAAATAGAGACAAAACAGAAATGCATTATAATATTTCCTTTCTATATGTGAGTAAATCTAAAAGTTTTTTAACAAAAGCAGGTATATGGAATGTAAGTTGCTTATGTAGTAAGTTTACTACAAGAGGGAGACTTTGTACAAAAATCGATTGCTTGGATACCTCTGTCCCATTCGTGTTTCAACCGCAAAGCAGTTGTGTTTGCATGGCTGTGTTTCGGTTTGAAGGGTGGGATATGGCGTGGATTTACAGGGTACAGAGGAATAACACCTAAGTCCTCAGGAATGGCAACGCATGGGGGGTATCATGGGCGAAACAGTATACTCTGTTATGTCCATGGCACTGCTTATGTCTATAGGCGACGGTTACCACTTTTCATCAGGTGGGCCGTCAGTTATTTGCCATTCTGTTGTATAAAAAAAAAGTAAAAGTACTAAAGTACAATATGGACACTCCCTGCCCCTTTCTGTGATCTCACGCCCACTGAAATACCCATCAAGGCCCACACTGCAACAAATGTGTCTAGTCTACGATTGTCCGCGGATTTCGTAAATCTTCGTAAATGTTTGTAGGCGACAGTGGTAATCGTTGCTTATAACCATGGACATAATAAAGTATACATGATATCCCCATGCGTTGCCATTCTTGAAAACTCAGGTGTTATTCCTCTGTACCCTGCAAATTCGCTGTCATATTCCACCCTTCAAACTGAAACACAGCCATGTAAACATAATTGCTTCACGGTAGAAACACGAGTGGGACAGAGGTACCAAAGCAAACGTACAATAACTGTTTGGAATGAACTTCCAACAACAGTATTTCCGAACCGATACGACATCATAACCTTCAAGATGAGAGCATATTTCATTTTAAAAAGCACCGCATTTGGTGTTGTTGGTGGTCACGGGCGGCGGTAGTCACTTACAATCAGGTGAGCCCCATGCTCGTTTGCCCCCTGTGCTTTTTTTTTTTTAAAAAAAGACTTTTGTATAAAGTCTCCCTTTTGTAAAGCTATAAAATGTAAACATCATTACTATTATTTCCCTAGTCCAAATGAGTGAAACCATTGAGGGACCACAACTAACAACCATTGAGGGACTATTGGAACAGCGTGGAGGTTCTGTTAATGGGTTGCTATGATGATCATAGAATAGAAGTATGTTTCTATAAACTTACTTCGACCTCCACCAAGGAACCAGTGGACATTACCAAGGAGAGGCAACCGCGGGTACGTTGGCAGGCCGGCGAACAGTTTTCGGGTACGATATCCCTTGACATATATCAGTAAATATATACCAATCACCAGTAGTATCACGAGGTATAATGTTAACATCTGGAAAAAAATATAAGATTAATAAAATAATAGGTACATTACTGCAGCGGCCAGCAACTGAGGCATTGATGGACGAACGTGCAAATGTGCGCCGAGGCGTTGCCGAGGCACACATATGTGAGTCCATCAATGCCTAGTTGTGGCCAAGGCTTGTAAAGTACTTTTCTCAAACAATGCGCGAAAATCAAAAACACAATTTTACTTTTTAAGTTCAATGACGAATAACGAATAATAATAATTTTTCACGCGCCATAATGTTCCTTTGTGTTTTTTTTTCAATAAACAGCATTCTATTTGTAAGCCAGTTCGAAATTTAAATAAAACCTTTTATTAGTTACCTCCTTGGTAGCCATGTTTCGAAGTAAAAGATCATTCCATTTTTAAATTACAGGACAGATATGAGTTTACATAGTAATTTATCTGGCCGCAAAACACGACAGATATAGATTTTCATACAACTTTTGCCGGCCGCTGCCCGCATGTATCTAGCTAGTACAACAATTTTGATTTATCTCGAAGAAGATTGTCAAAATAATGCTCACATTTCCAAGCATGTTTGAGAAAAAGTAATATAGTATATACATATTATAGGTATATATTTTAAGGGACTGGCTGAAAACTACTGTGCTACTGTTCACATTGCGCTGGGACACAGCGTCAGCTGAGCCGGTTCCTTTTGCCTAGTATGTGACACTTCTTGTATATGTATTTTCTATATTGATTATGTGTTTACTGGCAATAAATGTTTTCTATTCTATTCTATATTTATTATTATTATGTAAACGGTTAACTGTCCACTGCTGAACAAAGGTCTCTCCATAATGGACGATTTGTCCGCTTGACAAATCGTCCATTATGGCAGGCAGGCATTCTTGACAGGCGGATTGGCAATCGCAGTTTTTTTTTAATGCGTGAAGATGGAATGGTAGCCTCGCCTGCGCTATCGGTATACGCTGGCAGAGCACTAGTGAAGGGTGACAGGTGAGTATGAAGGCAGATCAGTTGCCCCATAGTGACCAATTGAACAATAATTAATCACTATGGTTTCCGGGAGGAAACGCGTGGAGGTCGACCTGATAGGGTATATTGCTAGCAATGAGGCTATTAAACCTCATTACTAACAATCCCTTTCCCCCCTGGCAATCGCAGTTAGATTTTGGCGATGTTTAAAGAAGAACGCTGTTGCCATTCCCTAGACTATTAAGTTCTCTTAGTCGCCTCTTACAACACCCACGAAAAAGGAAGGGGTGGCCCATTTTATGCCGAGATTGAAAAGAAAACACAGGAAAATAGTACTTAAAGAGAGAAATAATAGGTCCTAATAGAGCTATCTTATTTGGCTACAAAAAAAATATATATATAAAAATAAATAAAGTATTTACAAAAGGAATCATAAAAATCTGTCAGTTAACAATTCAACAAGGTGTATGCTATCACCTAGCTTCATTATTATTTTTAAATTATTTTTAAATTAATTTTATTAATGCGTATGTTAAATGTTATTAAATATTAAAATAGTCATTTATTATTGAGTTGTTATTGACTAGTTACATGCAATTTGCATAAAAATGCATTGAAGATTAAAATTTGTTTGTGTCGATACATTGATTGCGCCACGTACATTAGTTGTTATGGGATTATTATGGCGGTTATAAAATGATAACACGCTTATTATAATGGTGGACATTGTTGTGAATTACAACAATATATGAAATTGTATGCTGATATAAATGATGACAGCGGTCGTGTGATGACCAATTATGTATGAATGACTTTGGTTTTGCCCGCGTCATGTTCTAGTAAGTGATAATTGTGAGTTTTAGGGCGTGTATTGAGATTTTCGTCCGGGGAGAATTTCACTAGTTATTGTTCCGGGCCTGCGTTGAATTACAAAAAATAATTTACTAAAATATGACCATTCCAACGTTTAAATTTAATGAAAATGGACCATTCCATCCACAACCGCGCCTGCGTTATCGGTATACGCTGGCGGGGCACTATAGACAGATGATAAGAGAGAATGAAAGCAGGTCAGTTAGTTCATGGTAGCTAATTTCACTATTGTTTCTAGGGGGAGCCGCGTGGAGGTCGACCTGATAGGGTATATTATTAGGAATTGGGTTGTTAGACTCTATTACTAATAATTGTACGCAGGTTTCTCTTCCTCGGGTTCTGAACCCCGGCCGACTGTGCTTCTGTCGGGGGTTAGTTTGTCATCGCCTTAAGAGGAGAGATTTTAATTTTTGGGAAAAAAAATAAACACTTTATTGTGCACAGAAGAGATGTATACAAGGAGTATTTATACAATTTTTTCATATACAAAAGGCGGCTTTATAGCCAAATGTAATCTCTTACAAACAATCTATTACAGATTACGATCCCTTTTTCTCCCTCCACAGTGGCGGGGATGTTGTATTGCTTAAATGAGGTCACGGGTTCGATTCCAGGTCGCTCCAATTTAGAAAAGTAATTTTTCTGAATAAACTTAGGTCTGGGTGTTTTTTTTTTCTGCTCGTGTTTGCTGTTGGCCGTAGATGGCTTTTACAGCTTCACCGAACGCGTATGCAGGGGTGAGTGCAGACGGCACTAAGCCCGCGAGAACAAGTTATACTAGCTGGAGGACTAGGTGATTGGTGTAATTATAAATGTGAAAGTGGGTTTGTTTGTTACCTCTTAACCCCTTAAGAGTTTAATCAATCATTATGAAATTTGGTATGCACGTAAGATATGTTATAACGTATAAATATAAACAATTACAAGAAATAATCACAATGAGAAAACAACGGGCGACCTTATCGCTAAGAGCGATCTCTTCCAGGCAACTTTTGGATGGAGAGGAGTAATTATAAACAAATTGTGTGGGAGGCACGATGAAAAATTTTGTTAGTTCTAGCAATCTAGTATGATCTAGCAACCTTTGTATGCTTACATGCATAATGTACAAAGAAGTGTATGGTACAGGTACAGCAATTATATATTATGAAGTCATTACCGATTGCATGTAATTTAATGGCGCATTTTTGAGTCGACCTTACATACCATAGGCGTATACTTTGCAACTGCAATGCAATTATTCTATTTTCAATCAACTTCAAAAAAGGACGAGGTTTTCAATTTGACAGTATTTTTTATTTTGTAACTCTGCCAGTTATCTGATTTGAAAAATATTTTTTTTTTAGAAAGGATATACTTTCATCCATAGAAATGTTATCAAACCGATTCAGTAGTGCAGTTTTAAATTAAAATAAATAACTGATTTGGCCATAATTGAAGTTTGTGTGGTTTTTTTTTATGTGGAATTAATCTTATCAAGTTACTGAACGAAATAAAATACTCTACGTTTGTAATCAGAACAGTATGATCGAATAAAACTAATTAATTGTAAAATGAATTAGTTACTAATTTACTTTTAATTTAATTCTACTAATTATAAGTAGAATTAAATTAAAAGAAGCGAGAATAATTAATTCCAGCCTTTAATTGTCCACTACTGAACATTATTTTTGAATATTATTTTATAGTTTTGTCAGTAGTTGCCACGCTTGGCAAGCGGGTTGGCAATTAAGCTTTTAGTGATTGATTTTTTAAGAGGTTCACTGCTGTCTATATCTTTACCGTTAAGGCGGACTAATTAAGATTTTATTACGAGTCAGGTTTCTCTGATTTTTTTCTCTTGTGATCATGTGTAGGTACATCGGAATAGTCACAATACTCATCATCATTTCAGCCATTATCCGTCCACTGCTGGACATAAGCCTCCCCCATAGACCGCCATAAAGAATGGTCCTGAGACACCTGCATCCACTGACTTCTTGCAATGCATTTCAGGTCGCCACTCTATCTAGTGGGGGGTCGTCTTACACTGCGTTTGCCCGTACGCGGTTGCCACTCAAGAACCTTTCTTCCTTATCGATTATCGGTTCTTCGAGCTATGTGACCAGTCCATTGCCACTTCAGCTTGCTTATCAGTACTCATGCAAAGGGCCTGGATTCCTGAGATACAGATCTCTGATCTAGTTTAGGGTCCAGTCTCCCACAAGTTTTACAGACTATTGTATATTATTACATATATAGTTGTATTTTTTTCATGTAACTGTCACACTTCTTACAGTTAAACATAAATAAATAATAATGATATAATTTTATTTATTTATGTCTTTATTTTAATTTTAAATTTATTTCTCGGCATTTGCGTTACTGTATTGGGTAATTTATTATACGTTTTATTTTTAGATGTATTTTTTATTTCATAGTTTTTGTGAGTCGTGTTCTTGGCAATTCTAATTTGTCTTTATTTCTCGTGGCGTAACTATGATTGGCTGAATTTTTGCTTTTTTGCTTACAGCACACAAATAACAATACAAATATACACATAATACAGGCATACACAGTAAAAAAAGATAAAAGAATAAAAACAAAAAAAAGCAAAATATTTTAAAACAAGAATTTTCTTTCTTTCTTGCGTGTGCTATAGTAACACAAAATGGTAATAATGGTAAAGGTATGATATCTATTCTATTTTAATATAGTATTCTTCATATCATTAAATTATATGTTATTGTATAAAAACACTTACTTTGAATGTGTTCTTTCGATCCAGCCTGCTGCAGTGTGATACATTAGTCGACTATAACGCACAGTGGCCTGCCTAGATGTATATAAATATTTTATATATATAAAAAAGTACAGTGTTAGCAAATGTGCTATAGTATCGACACATAGTTATGTACTGATGGTCGTATGGGGAAGCTGCAAATTGCCTAGCGTGCTTAGAGAGAGCATTGAAAGGAGATTCGTGCGTCAGAATTCAAGGATAAAAATATTCTACCAGATTATCCATACTAATATATATATATAACGGAAGAGTTTGTTTGTTCGTTGAATGCGTCAATCGCTGGAACTACCTATCGGATTAAAAAAAAAATCTTATTGCATTTGATAGGACAATTCTTGGGGTTCGAGGAGGATTATAGTCTATTAAACATTATGGTATAACTACAGGTGAAAGCCACGGGGTATAGTTAGTATTTATTTATTTATAGGATCACCAAATTAAAATACAGCGAAGTATTTCAATACAATACACTAGTGGATTAGGTCTAACTGTTCATACTTTTGCCATGTGGCCCCGGCATAGAATAGGCTACCCCTTCTTTCCCCGTGGGTGTCCCCACGATTACGACAGTAAGAGAAACTTAATGGTGGAGGGATGGGCAGCAGCGTCCCTTTTAAAACATCTTCAAGGCCTAATTGAGGTTGCTAAGCCACTTGCTAAGCGTGGCAACTACTGTCAAAACTCACCGAATAGAGGGAAGTCTATGTTCAGTAGTGTACAATGAACGTACGCAGTATTTCCGAACTGATAACCATATCGAAACGTTCAAGAAAAAAGCATGTTCGTTTTTAAAAGGCCGGCAGTACACCTGCAATGCCTCTAGTGTTGCGGATGGTCATGGGCGGCGGTAGTCACTTACCGTCAGGGAGCCGCATGCTCGTTTGCCCCCTGCGTTGTAAAAAACATTGGTGCGTAAGCTTTGCTTGAATTTGACTAATTTATCTTAATGTAGTTATATATGATGTAGCTATATTATATATATATAAATATATGGTAATATTTTATATATTTATTAATGTGTTTTGGTGGGTAAGAAAAGGTTCTTGAGTGGCGACCCCGAACGGGAAACGCAGTGTAGGACGACTCTCCACTGGATGGAGTGACGACCTCAAATGCATTGCAGGGAGGCAGTGGATACAGGTGGCTCAGGAGCGTTCCTTATGACAGTCTATGGGAGAGGCCTATGTTTAATAGTGGACATATTGTTATTATTATTGTCTGTAAAGTAAACCGAGTTTTGTTGAAATTATCATAAAAAATACACTAAATAAAACATCTAATGGCTGATACTTCCAAAAGACAAATTAGAATGACCGATTTTTATAATTGATTTAGATAGATAGATAGATACTCTCTATTGTTTCCTCCATAAGATTACAATAGTAAACTTATTATAGATATAAATAATTACAAGAAATAATCGCAATGAGAAAACATTGGGCGAACTTATCGCTAAGAGCGATCTCTTCCAGGCAACCTTTGGATGGAGAGGAGTAACTATAAACAATTTGGTGGGAGGCACGATGAAAATTTTTTATACAAATAGTACAAAGATTTAGTTAAAATTTTTGTACTATTTGTAAAAAAAACGTAATTGAATAATTTTGTTTCTTACAACCCACAGGTCCCTTAATGTCTCACTTAACCAGATTTCACTGTATAGTTGTTTAGATGTAACTAGAGAGATAACATTAGATATTCTATAGTTATGTATAGTTAGTTACTCTTTCAAAAAAGAATAGATAAATATCTAATATAGTTGTCGATGCATAAATTAATCAGTTCCTATCAAAATGGGACATTTGCATACCTATTCTGTAATGGCTAAATAGGCACGAAACTCTATGTAATATAAGACCTACCCTATTTAATGCAAATAAATTTTATTATTATTTAAATTTCTAGTAAATTCACATCTCCCCTCTTAAGGAGAGGAGATGGCAAACTAACCCCCGGCAGAAGCACAGTCGGCCGGAGTTAAGGGCCCCAGGGAGAGAAGCCGGCGTACAATGCGGGCAGAATCTAAGAGAACCGCTTTCTGCATCTTTCCCGGGAGTGAGCCGCCTCGGAATCCCAACCGTTGGAGATGTTGTTCCAGACTGGTTGGGATAAGACCGTTCACCGACATAACAATTGGAATGATTTCGGTGGACGTCACCCCCCACATTTCGGTCACCTCGTGAGCCAGGTCGAGATATTTTCTCTTTTTCTCAGTTTCGGCTTTCACGAGGTTCTCGTCATGCGGTATGGTGACATCTACCAAAAACACCCTCGAAAGTGCCCGATACATCACCACGATATCGGGTTTGTTTGCAAGAACGGTCCAGGTTATTACTATTATTAATGTCATACAATACGATATAGGATATACACAATAAGTAATAAGTAATTATGAATATTTATTAATCAATTAATTGAGAATAATAACAGTAATTAGTTTATAGTATAAGAAATACACACTACCTTACTGTTCGACGGATCACACAAGACTGTTATAAGACCGTTCTTAATACATCGAATACCCGCTCTTATATACTATTGAACAATAATCAAATCAATACTTATTAACAATACTTTCATAGTGAAACTAACGTCATTAATTGCTAATATAACACTCACATGTCTTAAATATTATATTTAAACTAGTTTATAATAAATATTTATTTATTTAACACTTTATTGCACCAACATAACATGATTTGTTAAAACAATTTTCAATACGTATAATGTAGTACAAAAGGCGGTCTTATTGCTAAGCAATCTCTTCCAGACAACCTTTGGGTAGAAAGAATTAAAGTTAAAAAACGGCGCGTTAAAAAAGATAGATTTAAAATAAATACAGGTTTTTATGTTGTTTACATTATTTAATTATTATTAATTCTGTTGTAAACAAGATTCAGTGATCACCTTTACAATATTTTCTTTAAATCACAATGTTATTTATATGTTAATATGTTATAATATTGTCATCATCATCATACCAGCCTTTAAGTGCCCACTGCTGAACATAAGCCTCCCCCTTGGCGAGTTTTGCCTGTAGTTGCTACGCTTAGTATTTTTTTTTATACAACTTAGAATGGCAAACAAGCTGATGGCCCACCTGATGGAAAGTAGTAACCGTCGCCTATAGACATGAGCAGTACCATAGACATAACAGAGTATACTGTTTCGCCCATGATACCCCCCATGCGTTGCCATTCCTGAGGACTCAGGTGTTATTCCTCTGTACCCAATAAATTTACGCCATACTCCAGCCTTGAAACCGAAACGCAGCTATGCAAACACAACTGCTTCACGGTTGAAACACGAATGGGACAAAGGTAGCCAAGCAATCGACTTTTGTACAAAGTCTCCCTCTGGTGAAAAGATTTAGTTTAGTAGGCGGATTTGCAACTGCAGTTAGGTTTTACAGATGTTTTAAGAGGGACGCTGGTGCCCATCTTTCGCCCTCCATTCGTCCCTCGTCATCCCTTAGTCGCCACTTACGATATCCACGGGAAGGTAAGGGGTGGCCTATTCTAAGCTGGGCACACACATGGATGATATGCACATGATGATGCACACACTGGGATTACATATTCGGTAATAAAATATCATATTTATTACCAAATATGTGATATTTTGTGACAATCGTATTTTCAATAATTTACATGGAAAAATAAGACCTTAATTGAACTTATAAATAAGGTTACATATTGACTCCATGGAGTCAACTATTGTATGTCCACTATTGTATGCAACCATGCTCGTGCGAAGCGGGGGCGGTTCGCTAGTTAATTAAATGCAACTGTGTGATTCTAATTATTAGTATTTTTATCTTAATAAATGTTTTACTTAATTCAAGGCGAAGATGATTACTTCAGTACCATTATGGAATGAGATAATTTACGTTATTGTTTGTAACTAATTATTTTTAAAAATAACGTCATATCTGCCATCTGCCTGGCCTTCTGTTAGCATATCTTATTTTTAACTAGCTGATGCCCGTGTCATTGTCTCTGTTGTATGTTCCTACCTATTTATTGTGTCTGGGAATATTGGATCAAAATTGACAAATGACGTGTCGTTCTCACTCTTTGCCTTAGACCAAAATTACTTTACTTAAGTAGGTTATGTATTAAGCTGTATATGTTACTATAGTTTTTTAATTATCCCACGGGAACTCTTTAATTTTCTGTTTTTTTTTTATACAACTTAGAATGGCAAACAAGCTGACGGCCCACCTGATGGAAAGTGGTAACCGTCGCCTATAGACATGAGCAGTACCATGAACATAACAGAGTATACTGTTTCGCTCATGATACCCCCTGCGTTGCCATTCCTGAGGACTCAGATGTTATTCCTCTGTACCCTGTAAATTTACGCCATATCCCACCCTTCAAACCGAAACACAGCTATGCAAACACAACTGCTTCACGGTTGAAACACGAATGGGGCAGAGGTACCCATGCAATCGACTTTTGTACAAAGTCTCCCTCTGGTAAAATTATTATTATTAATGTTATTAAAGGTATCTAAAATGTTGACCGGGGATGTAAGGTAGCTCCATGAAAAATTTCATTTAAATCGGTCCAACCAATTGGTTGCCATTCTAAGTTGCTTAAAAACATTTGCAAGGAACTAACATGAGAATAAACACTGTGGACCAATGCACTTGCCTTTTTCCTCACCTATCATTTCTCACCGGTATTTCATCAGTATAAACCGACGATGCAAAAGAGGTTACCGTTTCATTTTTATTCATTAAAAACCAGTCAAGCACGAGTCGGACTCGCGCACCGAGGTTTCAGTTTTTTTTTTATGCAACTTAGGATGGCAAGTAAGCTGACGGCACCGTCGGTTATAGACATGAACAGTACAATGGACATAACAGAGTATACTGTTTCGCCCATGATACCCCCCATGCGTTGCCATTCCTGAGAACTCAGGTGTTATTCCTCTGTACCCAGTAAATTCACGCCATATCCCACCATTCAAATCGAAATACAGCCATGCAAACACAACTGCTTCACGGTAGAAACACGAATGGGACGGGATGGGAATCACGAGGACTCAGAAATGGCAACTCAGTACAAATTATTTTGCAAAAAATATTTTTTTTTTTATGATGTAACTACAAAT